AACAAAGGGGTAAAGTTAGAGCAGACAGTACATATTCTCCCAAACACAGAGTTTTTACTCAGGGAAATAAAACACCTTTTCTCTGTTGCACACTAGACTAATTTTCCCCTCCAATAGATTTAGAAATTCAGGGAGGTATCATTGGAAAGACATTTCTAATATTCTTTTTTTCCTCCTGTTAAGAGGAAATGTCTTCCCCAGTCATGGCTAACAAACCTAGCACATATGTGGGGCAAAATTTGCTTTAAAGCAGTGACATTTTTGTTATTCATGCTAACAACAGGACAGGTTCTGAGATTTGGGAACAAATGGATGTTCTCCTCATCCTCAGATATCTGCTCCTCTGAAATCCCCAGGATAGCTGAAGAAATCAGACAGGGTGTCCCCCGGCCATGGGGACGGCGTCGTCCCTGGTGAGCCCGGCGGGCGGGGTCGGGGAGGTGATCGAGGACACGTACGGCGGCGGCGAGGCCTGCGAGATCCCGGTGGAGGTGAAGCCCAAGGCCCGGCTGCTGCGCGGGTCCCTGCGGCGCGTCGGGGCCTCACGGCCCGGCGGCCTCATCGGCGCCAGCTTCAAGTCGACGGCCTCGGTGCAGGAGCTGGAGTGCGTGGCCGAGTACGAGCGCCTGAAGAAGGAGTACGAGATCTTCCGTGTCAGCAAGAACAACGAGGTGGCCTCCATGGTGAAGAAGGAGGCCAAGCTGGACAGGGAGAACAAGCGGCTGCGTGCCGAGCTGCAGGTAGCTCCCGCCACCCTCTCGGACGAGAGCGGGGCCCTTGCGTGTGAGTCTGCGAAGGACTCGTCCCGCTTCCCGGGAAAGCTGTGGCAGGGAGGCGATGGGTGCGATGGTTTTTCCTTCCCCAGGGAAGGAAGACGAGGTTCTGGGGTGACGGTGCGTGCCCCGGTGCCCTCCTGGTGAGCCGTCGGGGTGCGGCCAAGGCGTGCCCCTGGGGATGGGGACCCCAACCGTCCGCGGCTGTCTTCCCTCCAGAAAGTAAGGTGCTGGGTTAACGTTGTAGTCAGGCCTGAAAAGTAATCTAAAACCTTTTATCAATGGTTGCTTTCCTTCAGAAAAATAGTATATATTAAATCTTTTCAGGCACTTCAGAAAACCTACCAGAAAATACTTCGAGAGAAAGAAAGTGCTTTAGAAGCTAAATACCAAGCCATGGAGAGAGCTGCTACTTTTGAACATGATCGAGATAAAGTCAAAAGGCAGTTCAAGGTATGGCTTGACTTTTCTTTTCCTGAGAAACTGACGAAAAATAAGGTAGATGTCACTTGGTCATGTTCCCCTGTATAAAGTCTTTTCCAAGCTGTAGCTGCCTATTGCTTTTAAGCTAATCCTACCAAAGCTTCTCTGTAAAACTATGAGGAAAAAACACAAGTAACTTTTAAAATATTAAGAATAGGCAATTACATATCTTAAACTAAATACCAGTGTTATCTGAACACAGGAGTATATTCATTTTGAGAGCAACAAGAAAACATGGGCTGCAAACTGACACATGCTGAAGGAATGTATAAACACAGAGTTCCATTATTTCTGAATAAATTTTATATCTAGCATTGTAATGTTTAACACTTCTCTCTTACATTGCAGAAAAGTCTGTATTGGTGCATCTCTTTTGGCTGCTAAAATATGATAGCCAGTTAAAGAAAAAAGCCTTTGCACTTTGTGAAGGGATGACCTGAAAGGCCAGGCTGATGTTTCTGCTTTTCCCCTGCTGCAGATGATGATACACCCAACACAGGGCAGTAGGTCCTGGTTATGCACTGCTTTCAAAATTATTGATATAATTAATTGTAAGAGGTGTTAACATTTGGCAGATATATAAAAAGAGGATTTGTTCTGACCTTATTTAAGAAAATGAGACGAATAAGATTTAATCTCTTTGAATTTAAATCTAGGTTTATGTTTTCTTCCCCACATGATGGTAATATTTTACAAACAGGAAAACTGGAGATGCTTGATCACTTTCTATCTCAGGAAATTTAAATTTCTGCAACAATAAAAAGTAAATACATTATTATAATGTAAAAAAAAAAAAAAAAACACCCCATGGAAGAATAAAAGGGAACCTTTGAGAAAAACGTATAGTGATTTTAAAAGACAAACTTTAAAAGGTGAAGAAAGTTACTTGCCATTTTTAATGAACTTCCCATACTAATGCAGACTTCTGACTTTCAGAACAGTATGCTATGATTTAAAATGGTAACATTTTAAAAATAGATAATTTTAAACTGTGTTTTCCTACTCATTTATAGGCTTGTGGTGGCTTCTTATTCACATTTTCATGCCTTTGCCTGCTAAATGAATTCTAGAAACTTACTTTTCCAATTGAAAGCAAATAACATGAATTCATGAAAGGATACTGAATTTTAACAGATTTGTGCTTTGTTGGTTGTTTTTTTTTCCCCTTTCCTGCTCATAGATTTTTAGAGAAACTAAAGAAAATGAGATTCAGGACTTATTGAGGGCCAAACGAGAGCTAGAAGCCAAACTTCAGAGACTCCAGGCCCAAGGAATCCATGTGTTTGATCCTGAAGAGTCTGATTCTGATGATAATTGTACAGATGTTACGGGTGAGAATTTCATCTCCAGCATTTTGTGTTGGAATGTGACTGAAGTCTCTAAATAGTAAAGCACGAGACAAATATTTATGTTTTTTTGAAGAAAGTTTTAGTTATCCAAGTGAAAACCAACATAAAGTAGGTTAAAGGGGAGAAGCACTTGACTTTACAAACCTGGTTTAGGTTGTGGGAAACCCACGTTTCTGGTGTTATGAATGAATAAATGAAGAAAATAAAACACTGTCTAGACAAAGTGACTTGAACATTTTTTTTTGTTTCATGAACAGTTTCTAGTTTTCCAGTCTTTTCTGAGTTTTCTGAGAGCATGTTCCAATGGATCCAAAACATACTCCTGAAACTAGAGGGAATCTTACAGAGACTTACTGTCTATGGATGATGAAGTATGCCAGTCTCAGCTGCTGTACTTTCAGAATAGCAGAGTTAGATATTTAACAAACAGGAACTGACCAAAAGAGTAATTTTATTGAAGAAGCTTTTGAAAGGGAAACCTTAGCAAACTTAATGACACCAAAGTCAAAACCTTGTACAGGCTATAAGAGGTATTTGGTAACATGGAAATGATTCAGATAGTGGACTGACTGATCACATACCTGACTTTTTATCTGATTCAAAATAAAGAGATAGTTGTAGCAGACAGTTTGCACCTTAACATTATCAAGGATGGCCACCATTACTTCTTGTCCTATGAAGAGTTACTGAGGAAAATGTGCAAGTGCTGTTGCTTAAACTTTGTTTTGCTTACTGAGATATATCAACTGCCACATCTTGGCAGGAGTATAGATATGCAGTCTTTAAAAGTAGAAATGTTTCAAAATGCAGTGATTGGGTTTTTTGCATAGTAATTATGCATCTGAACTTTAGTGATATGGAGAGTCTTGGCTTATATATTTTTTTCCTGTCTTCTTTTGTGTTAATTTTTGAGTTCATACTTACCTTCTTACATTTTTCTACATCTTTTCCAATTTCCTGATTTTCTCCATGGAAGATTTACTTAGTGTCTTGAATGTTGTATGTTGATTGACGGAAGTATAATCAAAACATATTATGAAGAGATACTGTGAAAACTCTTTCACACAGCACAGAGAATATATTCCAGTTCTGACCTACAGCCCCTTCATGCTTTTTCAGTGCTGGAACATTCCTGAAAAAAAGTTGTCAATTTTGTGATGTCCACAAATGACTGCAGCAATACTGTGAACTGTTTTCCTGATTTGTAATGCAAGTCAGCGTTTGAACCCAACAGATAGGAGCAGTCTATATAATAACAAATATTAGCAAATAACCTCATCCTTCAGCAGCATGGTTTCTCACTGTGGACAAGCACACATTTAGAACTACAGCACACAAAGGTGTGAACAAATCTGTTAAAGGAGAAAGAATTATGGTCAGCAGGATGTGGCGGTATGTTTCAATTTAAGACTCATAATACATCTTGTTTAGTGACAGTTAAGAGAGTTTTTTTGTTTTCTGTGTTTTAGCTACTGGGGCGCAGTCTGAATACTGGAATGGAGGAGCTTTGGGAAGTGAGCCATCCATGGGTAGTATGATGCAACTTCAACAGTCTTTCAGAGGGCCTGAATTTGCTCATAGTTCCATAGATGTTGAGGGGCCATTTGCAAATATAAACAGGGGTAAGTAATGGTGGTTTGTTTTGCCAGGATTATAGCTGTCTGTCATCATTCTATCCATTCTTAAGTAATTCTGTTCTTTCTTAGCTCCTTTTTTGTCCATTCTTGAGTAATTTGACTAACAGTTGTTTGGAATTCTTTGTAAAAATGGAGCTGTAGCTGTGCATGCTAAGTTATGCTTAATATATTTGGTGACTGCGGTGTGTGCAGCAGTGATTTTTAGCCGTGAATGGTGCTTTGTTGTGAGTAAACACAATGCCATTTTGTTGCTTACATTGGCTAAGGAAGATGGTGACCTTTCTTTCAGTATCTGCAGGCACACTTTTTTTCTGTTTGTATTCAAACTCTCTACTTCCTGTGTATGAACATTACATTTATATTACACTATATCCCTGTGTTTTTCATTGGATTTGCATGGGGCTTGACTGCCTAAGGGACCATTTATAGAAATATGATTGCAAGAACAAGATGTATGTATTGTTAGAGTGAATCAGATATTTTCTTGTCAATAATTGTTGCTTTTGAACTTTGTTTCCCAAATGGCCTCTTGTAAATTGTCTTCAGGTGCTCTCGTTTTCCTCACTGTTGTCCTGGCCCTAGAACCCCTCCTGCATATAGCTGACTTGGCTGGCAGTTTCTTCATTTTTTTTCTTAAATCCTTCAGGCTCTGATTCAGAGGTCTGCTGCAGCAAAGTGGGAGGGGAGGGTCTGGTCTGTGATGGCTCCAGCTTCATACTTGAAGCCTTTCATCACCCCATGTGCTTCTGAGAGGGGAACCTATTCCTGTCTTGGAAGAACAACCCGCCACAAACCTAAGAAAGTTATAAAATTCATGGCTTCTATAGAGAATTGACATACAGTACTACAGAAAGCAAAGGACTTTATCTGAAGAAGAAGTTCCCTTAATATTCTAGTGTCATTTATTTGCACAGCTGAATTGAAATAGATGTAGATCTGGAGAGAAAAAAAAAAAAGTTTGATTATGAATGATTTTATTCCTGCATATTTTTACTTAATTTACAACTATCAATCAGCTTTGATTTTTTTTTTTGATATGTCATAAATCCTATTTAAAGGAAATATCATTATTATGATAATATGAATGTATTTAACACTGTTATTTTGTCACATGATCAAGTTATATGACATTATCAGATGACAGGGGTTCTCTAAATTCAAATTTATAAAATTAAAATAGTTGAGCTAAAAATGTGACTACTATTTTAAAGAAAATTCATAATCTTAAGAGGTGATGACTTACCTGTTATTCATTGTAATCAGATGTGAAGAACTCTAGACTTCATTTTGGTTTTTTTTTTTACATTGGCAGATGATTGGGATGCGGCTGTTGCCAGTTTATTACAGGTTACTCCTCTGTTTTCCCACTCTCTGTGGAGCAACACAGTGAGATGTTTTATTATTAGTACTGATGAGACTCAACCAGAAGTGAATATCTTCATTAGAGTGAGTACCTCACAAACTTATGCTAATGTATATGCTGTTTTGTTTCCACTGTGTTGCTTACTCAGAAATTTGTCTAATATTTCTGGAAAGCTTTGGTAGGTGTAGCCTGATTTCAGTGAAGTCAGTGAAAGTATTGTCAAGGACTTCAGAGGAAGAGACTGCCTAGAGAAAGGAAACTGAGATTTATCTAGCAGGTCCTTAGTGCTATACAGATTTAGTAATAAAGCACTGTTATTCAAATTTGCTTTCAGAACTACTCACCAAAACTTCAAAGCTTCTGTGAAACAATGGGATACTTTTTTCAAGTTGTTCATTTTTCAGCAGAAAATGAAAGGCCTCTTAAGGATGTAAGAAAGTGGGAAATTGAAAAAAGTTCCTTAGTCATTTTGCTCCTGCATTTGACTTTGCCAAGGTAAGTACTTTCCAGATTGGTAAAGCAAATGGAAACTCTTAATTTATGCAGAGTGCATGGCTAATTGAAATGTATGTGATGCTTTGCTCAGTACATTCCCTAAGCTAGTATCTTCTAAGCGACACTCCTTCAAACTTTAGGTTTGCTAGTGCAGACAGTTAAAAGAATAGATCATCTTTGTATCATTTCCTTTTTCTTGTAGCTACAGATTCTATTAAAATACAGCATGAAAGATGACTTCATAATACAGAAATGTTTTGCTTTTCAAGGGCAGCTCTCTGTTGTGCTTGTTACTGGAGTTTTAGGAATTCAAGATAGCTGGTGTGAATGTTTTTAGTGTTTTTCATTTGCTTATCTAGCCTTACACCTGTCTGTAGTATTTTGATTTTATTCTGTCACATATTGTTTTCTATCTTTAGCTATTTTTGGACTGATTTTATGGCTCTTCTGTGAGGTACATTATCCTAGATTTCTACAGCTTAAGTTACTGAAATAGTGATGTTTTATGACAAATGGTTATGCAATGCATTCTGTTTGTGCAGTGAGTAATTTCCTAACCTTCTAGAAGAAGAAACATGACTTACTAAATGAAAAACATCAGACTAGGGCTACTTTAAGAATTGTGTTAGGACTGTACTGTTTCTGTTAGGCATTTGGGAATTTTGGGTGGAGGAGGTGTCCTTTTGCTGAAGATATCTGAAAAAGGGGTTAGCAAAGGTAATATTAAGGATCACAGTGGTCATTCCAAAACATCTATATGAATGCAACAATCTGAAAATACTGGCATGTGTTAGGTTTCATATTAGGGGTAGATTTTGAACTCTAGGGATTTCAGATACTGTTGTATTACTAGAGCTCTTGTATTAACTAGACCTCCTGTTTCTGTAAATAAAACATCTGTCTGCACAGAACTAAAGGCTGGTTTAAGACACTAGTAGCTAAGATTTACATCAGTGGAGTGCTTCAGGGAACAGCCAGCTACCACAAAAGATGTTGATTTGTTTTCATAGAGAAATCAGACTGGAGCTGCCATACATCTATGGTCTTAGAAAGATAATGTCAGCTGCTGAGGGTATATTGGCACTCAGAGGATACTGTTGCCACATAACCCAGTTTTATGTATGTGGGTCACAAATGTTTAAAAACAAAATGTTCAAGGAAAAAAATGCAAAGGAGTGTTCCTGCCAACAGTATTCACTTAGAGAGTTTCCCTTAGAAAAGCTGTGATGAAAATTGCAGTGCTCATATAAAGAACGTAATATTTGAGGGATCCTTTTATTGTCAGCATCATCAAGTCATATAGTTCCTTCTGTGGAACAGCAGTAGATTGCTGGGAATGATATCCATGGATATCATTCACATACATCAATATAAAGTGCTTTTGTGTTTCGAGGTGTGTAATTCTCCTTTTCAACTACTATAAATTAAAAGACTATCCTATGTCTGACAAATACGAAAGGACTTTTAGGAAAAGGTCAAGGAATAGAACAGAGCCTTCAAATTAGTGATGGCAGACCATATATATATGATGCTTATTAATCGTGTGAATCTGTGTTCTTTCTATGCAATGCAATTACTTTTCACTCTGCGTATTGGTGTGACAGGAAAATCAACTTTCAATTTACAAAGAAATAATCATAAAATTAATAGATCATTTTAATAGTTTGGGTACAAGTAGCATACATTTCTCTCTTAGCTTTTCCTTTCTTCAGATTATATCTTAAATTCTCTGCTTGCCCTTTGTTGTAAATAGATATGACTTTTGAATTAGATTTTGCAGTGAAACCCATCTTCGGAGCTTGTGTTGATTGAACTGTTTACTACAGCAGTGTAATATAGCACAAGAATGCTGATTTCCAATCTAGTTGTTTGTTGGAGGACTGTGAAGAAGCCTTTTTGAGAAATCCAGAGGAAAAACCCCGGCTAATTTACCACAGGAAGGAGGATGACAGAGTCAGTTCAGTCTCAGTGCAACAGTTAATTGAGCAAATTTCTTACGTGAACAAAGCAAAGGTATGGCATTTTAAAGACTGTTGAATTTTAAAAGGCTTACTTTCCTGCTATAAACAACATCAAATGCTAGTAGTTCCAGATCTTAGGAAAAAATGTGTTACACTCATTGCTCTGGATGTTCATTATGTGAGCAAATTGACGCTGAAAATTATGAATGATACGAAATTTTCATTAACAGGGGAGAAAAAAAGCCACTGCATTTTCACTGAAAAAAATCTCTATGCTATTAGGGTAGAATTTCTCGCCTGTGTTGGGCCATTTAAATGGCATAGTTATTTATCTAAGGTCCCTCTAGCCATTGAAGAGAAGTGTACCTCCAGAGAGACTCTTCCCATCTGAAAAAAGATTGGTTGCCATTTATTTCTCTCTCCAGAGGGAACTGTTGAGAGCAGCTGAAACCAGATGCCCAACTTTTAAAAGCTTAGGCAAAGAGCATCCTACCTAAGGAGTGCAACAGAATGGAATTTAAATGTGTTCCAGAATGTTTTTGTTGGAAACCCTAAATACTTTTCCCAGTTGGGTTCAGAGTTGCGTCATTCTGTGCCATTTACTTTTTCAGATGATTAATCATATTGGAAGTGTGGAGGAAGGAGCATATGAAATCTATAATTGTGTGGAAAAGATAATTAAACAGGTAGAGTACATGATGCATTTAATCTTTTTCTGTTCCTACTCTGATTTATGATCTTAAATTATGTCAGTGTGATTACTGTATGCTACTTAGATATAATTCAAAGGATCTTTTGGGGTTTTAATGTTAATATCTGTCAAGCAAAGAAATCTTCAAGTGGAAAATAAAACTGAGCACTGCTTTTATGTACAGGAGCAGAAATAACAGGGGAAAGGGATCTCTTTGTGGCCTTAATTCTCTTTAACCATATTATAGGGTGAGGAAAGATTGCGTAGTCCATTCTCTCCTCATCCTTCCTTGTGGTGAGTTGCTTCCACTAAGAGAAAGCTAAAACCAGTGTCTTGAGACCTGTTCATTAACTTAATTTAATCTAATTGCTCATTTGTTTGTTTTCTGCTAGCCTAAAAGGAAATGAGCATACCGATGTTAGTAGAGCTGCACTTATACACCCTGAATCTGAGACAAACACCAAATGTGCCTGCACTGTTAAGAATGATAGTTGCAGTTTTCTCTATGTAATTTTCTTTTTGCTTAGGATATATTGGGGTGTGAAATGATGGAACTAGAAGGCAAGGATTTGGGTAGTAAGGAAGAGTCCACTGTTCCTGAAGAAGAAGTTTTTGGTGATGTATTATGGGATGCACATGACGAACAAGAACAGATGGAAGCTTTTCAGCAGGCCTCTAATTCAACATGTGAGCTGGGATTTGAGAAAGTATGTACATTGGAAATTATATGGGGAAAGAGAAAGTCATCGCTCATTTCCATCTCTTGTTAGGCAAGATGTACTTCTACAGAAGAAACTGTGTCTGAGAGCATTCTTGAGGCTGTTACTCCTTCGGCTAGAAGAAGCCGTATGTCTTATATAGATGGCATATTTATTTTCTGGGAGAGATGCCAGTTTGTGTGTTGTTGAATGACATTGATGAAAAAGCAGTTGTTCCTGCACGGGAGAAAAACACTATAATAGTGTGCTAGAAGTAGGGTGTCCTCCTCTTAGACTTTGGTCATCAATAGAAAAGATTTTGAATGTCTTTTTTTTTTTTGGGGGGGGGGAGGAAGTACGAGCTCTCTCACGACACCTGGAGCTGGATCTTTTGGAGATGATAAATGAAAAGATTTCATCTCATCATCACATACATATGTGAGAAGAACATAGGAAAGTTAAAAGTGGAGAGCTGCTGAATAACTCAGTGTTTACCCGTTACTTGACATAAAATTTTAAAAACGCTTCAAATTGGGGGTATTCGGTACTATGTCTAGGGAAGGTATAATGAATGTAGGAATTAAAACGTTAAAGTGTTAATGGAAAGTGATGCGAGAGCTTATTTGGGCAACATTCCTTGATGTTATAATGTAACATAAGCATGTGGTTACTGTGATTAAATTGTTAGTACCTCTATTTTACTAGCACAAATTATTCTTTTACTTCACTAATCAGATATCAGCAATGGCTTGGAGAATTGTGCCATCTTTGCTACATTCTAGAACAGTAAAATAATAGAACATTAATAGAAAACATACCTATATATATCTTAATGCACCTCCACTCCTTTTTTTGCAGACAAAATATTTCTCCCAAAGGGATGAAGGGTAGTTTTTGGTTTTGTTTTTGTCATCTTGAATTCTGCTGCAACATTATTGGGCGTTCATATGGTGAAAGAAAGCCTTTCTTTTGCATACTTAGTGCCTCAAAATATCATTCGTGGCAGATGCTAATTTTGATGGGTTTGTTCTGGCAACTATATCCCATACAGTGGAGTAGCTGGGGGGAAGGGGGGGGTGGGAAATCCTGAGCAGACGTAGTACCCAATTGCTTTAACTCTAGTAATGCTAATTCAGTTCATTAGCACTGAAAGTTCCATTTTAAATAGAGGGTTTTTAAAAAAATATTTATTTTATGCTTTCTTTGAGAGATAATAAATTTTGTGCCTTAAGTGTTCCATTATAAAATTTCTTTCCATTTGTATTACATTGCATTTCAGTAGTTATTCCCTTAATAAATCTGTACACGCATTTTGTATCTAGATGGTTTACAATACCAAGCACTATATTTTTCCCTCAAACAGTGGAATGTTTATAATTATTGTTTCTTTTATTATAGTATTTTGAACGTCTAAACGACCTAGTAGCAGCGCCAGCACCAATTCCACCTCTGCTTGTATCAGGAGGACCAGGCTCTGGGAAATCTCTCCTCCTGTCGAAATGGTAGTTTAAACTATTCTTGGGGTTTTCTTGTATAAAAGAAATTTGAGAAATAAGTTTCCATTACATTTCAGACATTGTATTAGTTTAATTAGAGGTAGAATGGGAGCATTTATAAACCACCAAAGTAACTGTAGCATCCTTGAAAGATTTGCGATAATTGAGTAGCTGATTCCATCTGGACTTCGTTTAACATCTCCCTGACTCCAGTTGCAACACCCTCCAGATCTGTCTTTGTACAGCATTAATATGTGGTTTCAGTAGCTTGATAGTCTTGCCCTTCTCTGATACACAGGAGGGATCCTTTGGAGTCTTTTAACTGAAATAAGATCAGACCTAATAATTTGTCATAGAAATGCATTTTATGGTCACTTGTAGGCTAGGACAAAGTCTACTGACATAAAAATAAATTGATAATGTCATTATTACTTAAAAGCTTAGTCACATGTGACTATCCAGTGCCAGGAAGGACACTTGTTAATAGCTATCAGTACTGGGGAGAGCAAAAATGGAATCTGATGTAAAAAGTTCAATTATAGCTCAGGAAATGTCTATCGTATTTTGTAAAATAAACATGGAGCACCTTTAACTCAGACATTATGTTCTTTGGCAAAAGGGGTGTTTTTTATTTGAACTACATTTGCAAAATTATAGTCTGTTAAGTGCTTTTTTTAAAAAACAAACAAACAAACAAACAAACTTTTCTCATTAGGATTCAATTGCAGCAGAAGCATTCACCGAACACTCTAATACTTTACCACTTTGTTGGGAGGCCCATGTCTACTAGTTCAGAATCTGCACTGATAATTAAGCGCCTTACTTTAAAGGTATGCTGTATTACTACATACCCTGCATTGCATGATTCTTTGTAAAGTGTCACTGTGTATGTCAAAAGATAAAATTTTCTACGGGTTTTTCTACATCAGTTAAGAGTAATACAAATGTAAGGCATTATAGAATCTGATCCTGTACCTTGAATGCAGATCAGTTAAATAGCGTCTCTGGGATATGCATAATAGATTTGCATTAGCAGTTATGCTTCCAGTGACCTATATGATTTACTGATGGCTTATAAAACCATATAAGATACTTCCAAAATTTCCTGCCATCTGGCCAGTGAGAGAGGTGGGTGGTACCTCTTCTGCCTGTGTGTTTACAAACCCGGGGCTGTATTCACGAGTTGGCACCATATTGTTTCTAGACTAGCCTGTCTCCTATGTTAAAGTTTTTTAATTGTATGTTAGATATGTGGGGAACAAGTGAGGAGTATTTTTGTGCAAGGATCTGAGCTTTCTTTTTACTTAACAGAGTTACACTGTGGACCTCACAGGACTAAAACCTTTAGAAAAATGAAATCAATTGTGCTCTGCTTGCAATTTTCTCATGTATTTTAGAAGCCTGCCTATTTAAACTGTAATTTTTAAACCCTTTAAATCTCCATATTCCTTGTGCATTGTGCAAACTCAGATTATCTCTCTAGAATTTTTATGACGAGTGCAGTAAATATTCTTTGTTCTGTCTATGCCAGCATTCTTCATATACTAGAAGAATTCTGCGTCAACTTGACTAGAAGAATTGCCCCAAAATTGTGTGTCGTTTTTGTGGGTTTTTTTCTCTTGTGTTGATAGGACTTCTTTCAACTATCCTAGTTTATTTTTAAGGCAGAATTTTTTATATATGTTTATAATTCTGCAGCTTATGCAACACTCTTGGTTAGTGTCACCTCTGACTTTGGATCCAGCTAAACTTCTGGAAGAGTTTCCCCGCTGGCTGGAAAAACTTTCTGCACGTCATCAAGGCAGCATTATTATAATTATTGATTCTATTGACCAAATACAGGTATGTTTTCAAAATATTTGCCATTTGTCAGTCTAAAGGAGATCTTGACTACTGTAATAGGTTCAGCTATATGTATGTAAAAGAAATATTAATGTTTGCTTTATTCTAAAGAGCCCATATAGAATATAGTTTTGCAAAAAGCGTGAACGAGTTAAAATAGTCTTTTGATTTTTATAGATAAATGGGTGTGTGTGTGGGGGGTGTCATCTAAATTTATCTTAACACCTTAATTTTTGAGCAGTCCAGTTACATTATTTATCCAAAAATTCAAGGCTGTGAGCTGACGTATTGGGCATGTAAATAGCCTAGTCTTTGAGGTGAACATTTCAACTATAGTATTCTATCATCCGCTTTATTTAATGTACGCTCATGCTGATACATATCAATGGATCATTTAGTACTGTTTCAGGAACAGGTCATGAACAATTTTGAAGGACCCTGGAGAGTTTAAGACTTCTTTCACTGAGCTGTGCAGTTAATGAAATGTATCAACTTCTGGCATTGTTTTGAGTAACCTTTGTATTAAGTAATCAAAATTTGCTTTTAAGCAAGCTGAGAAGCATATGAAGTGGCTGATAGATCCACTGCCAGTGAATGTGAGAGTGATTGTATCAGTGAATGTAGAAACATGTCCGCAGGCTTGGAGGTATGTTATATTTCTGAGATGTTTCAAAGTAGCCTGGGTTAGAATTATTGTTTTAAATTACAGTTACTTGTTGAAGGGTAAACAGCCAGATTTGTCAAGACCTGGAGGTTTAACAGTATAAAGTTTTGCAACCACTGAGAACAAGAAAAGCTTCTCTATTGTAAGTGCAGTGAGGACAGGTTTTAGCTGTTGGGAAACCAGATTTTTGTTTCACTGTGATGGATCTATCCACACAGCTATATGAAAGAGGATATTAAATGCAGTCAGGTGAACATACAAGAACTGCAGTACCATGATGTAGATCCAGGATAGGGCTAAAAGTGGAAATTGGTCTTGCAAGAACTAGAATTTCTTAGTAGCAGGGAAAAGCTTCAGTTGCTGCTTTGATATAAATCTTTTAAAAGCTCTGAAACTTTGATGTCTTTTTTTTCCTTTTATGTGCTATTTAATAAGGTCTCAATATGACTTTGTTCTCTCATACCAAAGGTTGTGGCCCACTCTTCATCTTGATCCACTGAATTCCAAAGACGTTCAATCTCTTATTAGTGCAGAGTGTAACTCTGCAAATGTTAAATTGACTAAAGAGCAGGTATGTCTGTTGCAGTTCTTCTAAAGTACTTACTCTAGTATAATTTTTAATGAAGACATGGAAAGATGATGTAAGCCCAGCTGCCAAAAAAAAAAAAAAAAAGAGCATGCAGTATTGAGTATTTTTATCCCATGGCTCATAGCATCAACACACAGATGGAACAGCGTAAATTATTAACACAAAAATGGTGCAGTTGCACATACTGCTGTAAACCATGTTCTTTTATTTTGGAATAATAGAAAATGTAATATTGCATCATACTGTAACAATGATTGGCAGAGTGGGGAAAAAAGTATTTTACCTCTTTGCCTTGGAGACCGATTCTGTGAGGTAACCCTCATCTTGAGACATGTAATAGTTAAATCCAAACTCTTAATAGGAAGTTTTCACTCATATGCTCCAATAGCTAGAAAAACATACAGTATTTTGTGCACTAGTTATCATGTCATAGTCTTCAGATGTTAAAGGTAGAAGCATATGTAGAACTCTTTATTTTCTTGTCAAACAATGAACATTTTATTGGTATGGTTAATTTCCTCTTAGCTTACAGATTTTGTTTAAAATATTGTAGGAGAAGAAGCTTGAGAGACATTGTCGTTCCGCCACAACATGCAATGCTTTGTATGTCACTCTCCTGGGCAAAACCATTGCTTGGTATGTTGAGAAGAAATTATTGTGCTTATCAGTAGATTAGAAGACTTCAAGTAGGTTGTTAGCATTTTGAAATACATTAACATAGAACAAATCTTGCTAAGATAAAACAGCAGAACAGTTTTCCCCCTTCACTGACTGTGAATGCAATGGGAAGAGAATATACAATTGCCATTTGGATACTAAGTGAATCCAGATAGTTGTATCTGTCTGTTTTCAGCTTCTCTGTTTTTATTGTATTTTTCTGTTGCTCTGCTTTCTGGGTATGTCAGTTGTTTCAATGCTTTTTAAAGGTATTTGGAGAATGTTGGTATTTTTGTTAAACAGTTTAATTTAGTTCTGTTGTATTTAATGATGTACCAGATAGTTTGCCTCATAGATTTTTAAGACTAAAAGGAAGTTCAGCAACTGCTTAGTTAAACATCCTGCATATGGTACTTTGCCCTATAATTCCTGCAGTGGAGAAAATTAATCTTCTCTCTTGTGCAAGAGAATACTTAATAAGTGCATTGGCTTATTATTAACCTAGACTTCATCTTGTTGAGAAAGACGCATTTTTATTTCAGAGACTCCCAGAAGATGATACACTGATTGATAATTTACTATGGGTGACTGATTTTTATTACTTTTTATTTCCGTTTCATGTCCTAGAATGCTTAATTGCTCCTGAAAGTGTGCTTTGTAAATGCATTAAACGAAACAACAGCATGTAGTTTTATCTTTATCCAACTTGCTGTTCTTATTCTGTATTCCTGGTGGAGGAAGAGTACTTTTTCTTTTTTTTAATAAAAATGTTGCAGTGGTTTAGAAAAATCCGAAGCTATGACAGAAGCTGGCTTCAGAAATTTACCTCTTCTGTGTTTAATCTCATCAGGTGCTCTGCATCTTTTAAACGCAGTAGGAATTCAGAGCACTTTTGAGATAGAGCTCTTCAGTAGTTTCAATTCATCTTCTCAGCCAAATTGAATATGTTAACTATGCCCTTTTTGACCTTCTGCTCAGTGTTGGAAATACAGGAAATATTGACAAAACCCTTCAACAGTGTTTCCAATGTCAAGACACAGTGTCACTGTACAGGCTTGTTCTGAGATCAATTCAAGAATCATTGCAGAGTGATAAAGAGAAAGGTCTTTTGAGAGAGGTAAGCAGAGAATGCATCTCTATTTCTACAAGTAATATACTTTCATCTAAAGAGTTTTTATTAAGTTAAAAGTAAATATATGTTTATGTTGGTTCATATGTATGATTCAGCGATTATTAGTAGTATAGAAGGGACATTTTTATTAATGTAATTGTATCTATTGCATGACTATAGAACATATGACTGCTTTGTGTTAATTTCAACTAAGTCATTGTCTCACAAACCAAAACAGGACTTTTTCACTATGATGTGATACAGAGTGATACAGAATTAGCACTTCTTTGTTGATCACTACCCTGATCCGATGATTAACTACACTGAGCACAGTAAATGTAATCAAAACATGATATCTTGTGAATACAGGGCACCACTTATTAGATTCTGATTACTCTTTCTACCTTTGCAGAATTTCCCTGTTGTGTGGAACATTTTTTTTTGATTAGGACATGATACTCAATAATTGCTAGTTCTTTGGTGCTGGCAGCATAAGACCTTCAGCATATTTTACTTAGATGGAAGCTTCTTATGATAATGGAGTTATCTTCCCCTAGTGTTTTGGAAAAGCAAGGACCCGTTTGTTTCTCCCAGTGTCCCATTTGGTGCTTTAGCTTTTAGAATATTAATCCCTTAGCACTAAGGGCTGTACTTTGAGGGAAGAGGAGGGAAGGGGCTTGTGTAGGTAGGGTTTTTTTCCCTTGGAGTGTAAAGTTATACACAGTGATACACAATATTTTTCTTGGAATTTCAGTGTAACTGAGCTCTGCAGCAAATACCGCTGTGTAAAATAATTTTTCTGCTTTATGTAGATGCTTTGTGTCATCGGTGTTAGCCACAATGGTGTAAGTGAGTCAGAGCTTATGGAGCTTTATCCTGAACTGTCTTCTGCACTGTTAGCCTCGCTCATTCACAGCCTGCACAAAATGTGTTTGCTGACATATGGCTGTGGTTTGCTGAAGTTCCAGCACCTCCAGGTAAATTTTGTCATTCTAAACACATAACAAGTGACCCCCTCTAAGCCCTTGCTGTTTTGTAGATAAATGCTGTTGTTATCTAGGTAGGCTGTGATATGTTTCTGTTTACTCATCCATTTCCCTTAACATTTGGTTGGATATTAGAATTGTCTTGAAAACTGTTAGAGCTGTAATACCAGTACTGGTCAGTATTGTTCAGCAGATGAAAACTTGGCATTTCAAACCTTCAGAAATTTCTGATCTATTAGTTGTTAACTCTGTGTCCTAGAAAACACTTGTTCCGCAAAACCCAAGCAGAATTGAAGGAGAAGGGAATATTATCTGAATAACCAGAACTTTGGTGTAATATAAGACAATCTTTTTGTAGAGCCTTTGTCATGGAAAGATTTTCAGTTCTACAACACGTGTTCATAAAGAAATGTTGTATAGTGCCCTGTGTGTCATCAACACTTAATAAACAAATTAAATACATTCTCTTTCTCTCAACTATACTCTCTTTCAGGCTTGGGAGATGGTGAGACTAGAGTATATGGAAGAAGGTGAAAGTATTATTTCTGCCTGTAGGCAAAGACTGGTGGAATATTTCACCATGCAGCTAAGGTAGGTTAGAATTCCTAGAGATGTGCTAAATTGTGGGCTTTATGCCTCATGGATATTTTTTTTTTTTTCATATAGCTTCTTTGACTCAGTTTAGTAACTTATTACGGCAAAATAGCTGCAAAATGCTAGTTGTCATTTTAGCAGTTTATTATTGATATTTTGCTTTTTAATCTTGGAAAAGATTGAGAACTGTGGAGGGGAGTGGGCCTATAATCAAGTTAAAGGTAGGGCATGAATTTATACCACATCAGTTATTTTGTGGTAACTGACTCCATGTGGATTTGTAACTCTCAGTAAATACCAGCAAAATTGAGGTTGACTGGAATTTGAAGAAGCAGCAGCAGACTACTTGTGTTCAGCAAGCAATGAGCACATACACAAGAGGAGGTTCAGTAGAACAGCTGAACAGCTCCCAAGTTCATATCCAGCTTGAAAACTGCTTTGAGTTTAAAGTCCTGAGTTAGTGTGTCCCAGCTGTGGGCTACTGCTTACTGTTCCTCAGCATCCACAGCTGGGTAGCAGAAAGCCAAGAGGGCCAGCGTGCCAGGCAGAGGAGGTGCAAAGGGACAGTGGGCTGTTGCAGGGCTGCAGTCCTGCTAACAGGCACAGGTTAGCCCATATGGGAGGGAGGAGTGGCTTTCTGTGGCATCCCTGGGGGTTCCAGAGCCCTCTGAGGTGGAATTGAAATGAAGATATGAGAAAATGGAGTGGATGGGTCATTTAGTAATCTCTTTAGACATTCAGGTATGGCAATTGCATGCTTGCCTAGTTTTCACATCAAATTGACAAGTTCTGTTAGTCCTCTCAGAGTTCTAATGTTGATTTGCTTCTCTTTCAATAGTCGAGACCGAGTGACTTGGAGAAGTGCAGATGAACTTCCCTGGCTCTTCCAACAGCTGGGTGATAAGCAAAAGCTACACAAATGTCTTTTGAATCTCTTTGTATCCCAGAACCTTTACAAAAGGTACAAAGATAGCCACTGCTTTGACGGTTATAAACACTTCAAAGTAATTTTTTGTCAATGTAAATCAGAAAATGACAGATACAGATTAAAGATACTTAAATAGTATAGGCTGAAGTGCTAGATGCTGTTGCCATAGAATTCATCTGTTTTTTCTCTTATGTTACATCTGGGGGTTGGCAAAGGGATAAATACTGCTGTTGAACAGCATTAGTCTCCATGGATTGTCTCTGTAGACACTGTAGCATAAAGACATTCATGCATGTGGCCCTTTTCTTCTAAGCTAGCATCAGTCTGAATAGAGGGGTATCAGAGGTAAGATGAGCTTCTTATTTCCTTGTTAAAACAGGGGACATTTTGCAGAATTGCTGAGTTACTGGCAGCTGGTTGGGAAAGATAAGAGCTCTATGGCAGCTGAGTATTTTGACTCTCTGAAAGAATATGAAAAAAGCTGTGAGGGAGAGGAAAGTATGATCTGCCTGGCTGATCTTTATGAGACCCTGGGACGGTTTCTTAAGGACCTAGGTCTTCTCAGTCAGGTAAGTACATTTAGAGATTGTTGTAACAGCAAGGAGGCAAATTAAGCAGAGTTCAGTGTGTGCTTTCTCTTGCAGTTGTTAAATTACTGTAGCACAGAGGATGCTGCCTGCTCCCATCATATTCTGAACTTCGTTGTTACAGGCTGTAGCTCCTCTGCAGCGGTCTCTGGAGATTCGAGAGACTGCGCTGGATCCAGATCACCCAAGGGTGGCGCAGTCACTCCACCAGCTAGCAGGAGTTTATGTTCAGTGGAAGAAGTTTGGAAATGCTGAACAGTTGTATAAACAGGCACTGGAAATCTCAGAAAATGCTTATGGAGCTGAACATCCCCGGGTAGCCCGTGAACTTGATGCACTTGCGACCTTATACCAAAAGCAAAACAAGTAAGCTAACTGCACTATTTTTCTTTTATGTGGAGGTGGTACAAACATAACAGCAAAGATTTTATTCTTGAAGCCAGAATGTTTCTTTGGTTCTTCTTTAGAGTTTTTTAAGTTCCAGTGCAACCTGAGCATCCCCTCTGTGTTCTTGTATCAGGCCACCCAGTAGGGGCCAACCTTTGTGCTCAGTTTAACATCAAACTTCCAGAGATAAAGGAGGAGCATTGTCTGGTCCTAAGCATTTTGAATGTTTTTATCTTTGACAAAAAGTGTGATAATTTTTTTTTTCCCAAGACTCTTAAATTCTTCTCAAATCTATACAATCAAGCAACTAGAAGCTTTCCAGAATACTCACTGATGCTACATTTGGCATTCTTCTAACACTATAATTAACTGTTTTCAGATATGAACAAGCTGAGCAACTGAGGAAAAAGTCCTTCAAAATACGCCAAAAAGCAGCAAGGCGGAAAGGCAGTCTGGTAAGGAAATGTTTGATATTTCATAAAAGTATAGAAGCACGTTGTGTTTCTGCGAAATAGATGGTAAAATGTTTCTGCAGAACTGACAAAGCTCCAGTGCTTTGATAATTGAGGGCACAGGTAGTGAAGTAGCCTAGCAGCATTTTGTTAACTACCTTTTCAGCTCTGTGGGAAGTTGAGATTTATCAGTACAACTGGTATGCAGTTGAGAGAGGTGGAAATCTGTACGTTTTGAGGGTGCAGAATTACTGCTGATACAATTGGCTGTCAAAAGTGGCAGTGGGAAAAGGTGTTCTCCAGGATAACTGCGGTATTTATCCTACAAATAGTGAACACAGTGCTTACTATAGTGGATAATCCCAGTAATAATATTAGGTGCCATACTGAGTTTTTCCTTGTTTTTTATTCTGTGTTTTTCAGAGACAGAGTTCCTCTTGTCATCCTTGAGCTAAGGGTTTGTTTGTCATGTAGAGCTTGTACTAGAAGAGTTCAGCTAGTAGCTCCAGAGCTTTTAGTTCATCTCTAATGAAAGTAGTGAAAAGCCATAAAAATGTTGCTATTTCCACAGTGCTTAAATACGAATGAATTTGGATCATGAAGATTTTGTCCATTTCTTTAATGAGTTCTGCTGCACAAGTATTTTTATCAAGAACAAGAACAGGTGGAGAATGTAACAATGTACTTGTAATTCAATTTTTCATGTAAGCATTAGCTTGGCAGCCCATTTTACAAAGATCTGTGCAAAGTCTTGAGTAATACCTTATATGTATTTGTGTATGGCATTTAGGATAGGAGATTACATTGATTTTTAAGTTTTGAGCTGATCAACCTAAGGATTTGATCTGAATTGGTTATTTGAGCAGTGGAGTTTAAGCAAATTAATATGTATGATACAAGGAAAACAGCTGTATGACAGCACAGTAACTTAAATTTCCTGGAAGCATTTTTGGTGAAATTCCCTGTTAGGCATTATGCTTATGTACAGTCTATGTGCCTTTGAGCTTGAAAATGGAATTTAGGTAGGATTATTGTGCTCTTTTGGCACCATACTGAGTCTTTTGATTTTCTGTCTTCAGTTGTACACTTTAAAAGTAATGGTGACTGGCTTACATTACCTTGTGCATTGCTGTAGTGTGGCTTTGCTCTCCTGCGTCAAAGAGCCCTGCAACTGGAAGAGCTCACGTTAGGCAAGGATACACCAGATAATGCTCGAACCCTCAATGAGCTTGGAGTCCTCTACTACCTGCAGAATAATCTTGAGTAAGTTGTTGTGATACATCCACCGGGTGTTCCCATAGATCTAAATGGAAGCAAAGCATTGAGAACTAGCAGATATGTGGTCCAGATATCCGTTATGGTGCTGCCCCTGATTCATTTCACTGATTTTTGTTTACTGTGAAATTCACTTATAGTTTCTAGAACGGATGCTGTTAGCATGGGAGTATTTACCAAATCAGTACGTTTCCTGCATACAGAATTGATGTTCCACAGTTCACTAGCCTTCATTGCAAATACCAATTTTCTCTCAAAGTTTATGCCCCCCTCTACTCAGCTTCACTATTTTGTGACCCTCCTTTGTAGTGTTCACCCTTGAAGAGCACAATTGTTGTTCTTCTGTGAAAAAAACCTCAAAATGCCAGCATTACAAGAAATCATGAGTTGAATATTCACTGTGTTTCTAATTCTCAGGATTTTACCCTGCTGGCCTTTTTAAGGGCAAAAGAGGACACAGCAGCACACAGGTGTTCTAAAAGCAGATAAAGATAAGCAGGGTGTTGAAGAAGGGGAATAAATGTGCAGAACAGTTCTGATTGCATGGTTAGCCAGTCTTCACACCAACTTCTTCAGTCCACATAGTCTAAAACAGTGTGTTGTGAGGGAATTGCAAAGTCACCCTAAATCCCACTCTACTGAACTAAATCTTTTCAGAGAAGAAAGTGCACAACAAAAAAAGCACAGAATAAATTTTGGAAGTATTTTTACGTTCTTCTTATATCTGATGCTTATGTCACCAGTAGCTGTTGAATAACTACAGAAATATATCAGAATTTAGGATCTGCACACAGAATCTTTGGTCCTAAATACAGGTCCTTTACAGTAAAGGGATTGATTTTTAACCGTTATTGGAAATGTGGGGTTTTTAATCAGTTTACTCTCATGGAGTCATGTGGAAGTGACTTGATTATAGAGGAGTGATATCTATCTATCTTAATCTCATACAAGATCATTTTACATTCCACATTATTCATATGTAGTTCCTGTCCAACACAACCTACTTGTAGAGTAACCATATCTCCACTATTTCATCAGTGAGGAAAAGTATAAACTTTGTTTTAGTGAAGGTTTAAGTAATTTTTTTAAATGGATATGGTGTCTCTCTTCTGAATCAGCAAGTCCAAGACTGAATTTTTTGATAATTTGCTGCAGTTAGAATGGAATCAATGTCAGAAGGGTATGTCACTTTATTAGCTGTTATATCACACATCATCCTCTAGCCCTTGCATAGCGTGACCACCTTTTAACACTGTCTAAGAGCTCCAGAACTGAACCTAAAGTTCCATGTAGAAATGGTCTTTTTTGTCTCTAATGCAAAGTGAATTTTTCCAGTTTACTAAACTGACCTCTTGGGAATAGCGTCACACAGAACTTGTGTGTATGTCAGGGTTACAAACTGCCTGGTCACAGTGGATGCTGCCAGTATTAAGTGGGGATTACCCATTGTTTGTGATAGAGGAGCTGCTAGATTTGTAATGGAATAGTAGCACACAGTGAGATGAAATATGCCCTTTTGATGGGGAAATGCTTGAATGGTGGCATTACACAATCTTTTCTACTTTGTCGCTTCCAGACAGATTCTACTGAGATTCTAGCTCATAACCTACATAAAATCTGTTCCAGTCTCTCCCCCTTTGGTGTGAAAGCTGTCTGTTGAACCCTATAATATATTTTATATTTAAAGTTACTTGAAAAATATGTGGTGTGTTCTGAACCTTTAGCTCATATTCCACTGTTGCTTTATCCATGGAAGTACTTGACTGCTTGGAGGAGTTGCCCAGAAGTCAGTAGAATGTTTTGAATAAGGAAGGATTACTTGCATAACGGAAGGTGTAGGTTGAATTAAAGAAGAGAGCAGCTATGGGGTAGTGTAATGTTTGCCGAAATCTGCTAGACTGGCTTTTCAGTGCTTAGCGGGGGAGGATCTAGGATTGCACAGGAATATATTAGCTAGCTCTGTCTACATTTTCATGGTTAGCCTGCACAGTAGGACTGTGTCTGGGATGTGTAGTTCCTCACTGCATAAATGAATTGCTGATCTAGCATTTGCTTATTCCGAGGAAAGTCCATTACCAGATGTCAGTATATGTGCGGTTTTCAAGGCTGAGTTTGTTCTGTTTCAAACAGCCACTTCAGCCTGTACAGATGTTACCAGCTTTAAATTATCACTGAGTGACTGTGTTCTGCAGGACAGCAGAGCTTTTCCTGAAGCGCTCCTTGGAAATGAGAGAGAGAGTCCTGGGACTCGACCACCCAGACTGTGCTCAGTCTTTGAACAATCTGGCAGCATTGTACAATGAAAAAAAGCACTATGACAAGGCAGAGGAACTCTATGAAAAAGCTTTAGACATCAGGAGGAGAGCACTGGCTCCAGATCATCCCTCCTTGGCTTATACTGTGAAACATCTGGCAGTGCTGTACAAAAAGATGGTAAGCACAAGCCTGTTACCATTTCTCATCACCTAAATTAACTGTAATGCCTTTCATTGTTACAGTCTTCTATCCAAAAGGAGTGGGCATGGGAATTTTGTCAGCTATTGCTGTTCTACACATGCTTAAAAGATGTAGTCAAGCAGCCTCAGTCTCTTCCAAAAAGCTCAGTAGCTTTTTCAAAACACGCTTTGCTTAAGGAAAAGCTATTTATGAATAATGTCTTCAGTGCCTTGCATGCTCAGTATTCACTACAAAGAATTTCTGATTTAGTTAAAAGCTCATGTTTTGGCTGCAGTGAGGGAACCTCTTCCCAGATGTATTTGAGTTCTTCACTGTCTGCTGTGGGACATCCATATACAAGAGTTTGGTCAGATGTGTCTTAATGGAAAAATCATGTTTTAGGGTGTAGGAATATTTCTTTTGACACAACGACCTTGAACTTTACAGTCCAGCTGAGAGTAGCTTGAATCCTCATGAGGGAGATAGTCCATTATGAATAAACCGTGTGGCTGAGCCACCTCCATCTCCAGTTGGTTCAGTGAAGGATGAGAGTTACTCCCCTTCTAAATGCACCTTGAGGAATAACATTAATGGTAGTAAAACTCCTGTGTTTCATAATTTCAAAATGTTTTATGAAAATTTGTGTTTGCAGATGGTCATTCTAACCATTCAATATCATCAGGGTAACAGTGATATAAGGTTTTCAGCTGTTGAACCAAGATTAAATTCAGAGGATGACTTTTTTTCTTAATATTTTCCATATTTTACCATTCTTCAAAGACGAGTCCTTGAAAATAATTTCTTAAATCAAGTGCTCCTGTATTTTTGCTCAATTATTGCTACCTCCTGTTATGTGCCTGAAATTGTTTTGGGTCACATATTCTCTGCTCGCTTCAGCTTATAATTTTCATGCTGCTAGAAACTGCAAAGGCACTCAATATTTGCGTGAAAACGCTCTTTGCTAGTTTGAAGGAGCACAAATTGAAATTCATGGTGAACTAGTGACACAGGGAAGAGTGGAGGAAGAGAAGGGATCGGAATCAGATGTAGAAAACGACTATTTATAGATAAGTATTTATTCCAGGTGAATTTCTGATCATCAAAATGTGGCACGGTGATGCTTTGAGAAAATCAGAAATTTGATACGAATTTTGCATTCAGAGTGAACCATTATACAGTGGAAGTTTGCAGTATTTAATTTCTAATTGCTATTAAATATGAAAATTCACATTCTAATAATAGAAGTCTGAACTTATTTCTGAAGTATATCCAGATAAGGTGTATGAGCAGTTTCAAATTTGGAGTAAAACAGATTTGCTGGAAAAATACTCTAACTAGTTTTACTATAGATTATGAGAGGGGTATTTTAGAGAAACCAAAGTCAAGAAGCCAAAGCCTCAGTATGGTGAATGGGAAACAACAGGTATTTGACATGGCATCGGACACTGCAGCTTTTCCAAAGAAGATGATGTGAACACCACTTCAGTAAGCAAAAAACTGCTCAAAGGTTAAGGGCAGCTACATTCCCATTGTCATATTACTAGTAAAATTTAGACCCTTTATACCCCAAATAAGCTCTGCTCTCATTTATGGCAGGATGAGGAAATAAAAAAGGAGAAAATTATTTGGATAAAAGGTACAACTGAGAATTCTTTTTAACAGCCTTCTCAATGAGACACTTATGGGGAAAATGTAAATTAAAAAAAAAGAAAGAAATAGACATGGCTGAGAAACACATTAACTGGGAGTTGAATATGCTCAGTATTTTGGAAAATTATGTCCTAATAAATATTCATGATAATCTGTGCAGAATATAACTGAATTAACCAAAATTAAACCCTTATTCTGGAAACAGTTAATCTTCTCCAGTGCTTTTTGTTTAGAATAGATTTTACTGTTACCATTTTCACACAAGACAACTGCATCATTTTTTCCCTGTTATTTTCAGGGAAAACTTGACAAGGCTGTTCCTCTATACGAACTAGCGGTTGAAATTCGACAGAAGTCATTTGGCCCCAAACACCCTAGTGTAGCAACAGCTTTGGTAAATCTGGCTGTCCTTTATTGTCAGATGGTAAGTTTTTCACGTTTTATATGTTTATTATTCTTGTCTTAAGGTTTTATAGGATTCATACCTAAATGATACCAAAGAAACTTGATCACATTTAAAATGCAAATTCCCTATAAGACTTTCAAATTCTTAGGTTCCATTTTAAAAATTGGAAGGATATATTTGGCAAGGAAAAGGTATGCAGGGAACAGATAGTTGCTGTGACTGGTATTTCACAAGAATTTGTAGCTTGGGCTATCACTCTTTAGATTATTCAGAATGCCCACATGCTTTATAAGACTAGAGCTAGAGTGCAGCGTTGTCAGTAGTATGGCTGTTACCACAGTGATGGAACACAGCTCCACCACTGACGCAGAGGGAAGCATAAGCCTTTGAAATTTATGTCTGTGAACGAAGAGTGCCCACCTTGACCAACTGCAGCTCTGTATAATTAAAAATCTAAGAAGGCTGTTGACTTTCTAGTCTACAAGTAATATGAGATTCAAAGGAGATGTAATCAACTCACCAAATTCCTTACTTAGCATCAATAGGAATAGATTGTTTTCTTATTTTCTGTCAGGTTAATGGTTAGACTAGGTGATCTTCAAGGTCTTTTCCAACCTGGATGATTCTGTATTTCTGCAATCTGCATATCTGATTTTAAACAGGGATTAAAGCTGCCTCAAGTAAAATTAAAGAGCACTTGGTAACTCAGTACTTTCAGGACCGAGATTTTTCAAAACTGCCTAGGAACTCCAGACCCTAATTATTGTAATACTAGTGTGAATTGCATTTGCAAGTTGCCAGCTAATTGCTTTGACAATCTCAATTACCATCGTCATCTGTCAGCAGTATTGAGAACTCAAAATACCTTTCTGGTTAAATATGCATGACTTCGCATCTAGGATGTGTTGATACTATGTTGGAAAAAAGAATAGCAAATGTATCTGTAACAAACAACTTTCTACTATCTGAAGAAAAAGCAGATTGAAGCTTTACCTCTTTATGAACGTGCATTAAAGATTTATGAAGACAGCTTTGGTCACATGCATCCTCGTGTGGGAGAAACTCTGAAAAACTTGGCTGTGCTAAGGTAAGATAATAAGTTTTACCCCTATAAAAGTGACTTACTATAAAAATTGCTGGATGAAGCAAAACATCCTGGACTTGTGTACTTACTAGGAAAGCAGAGAGCCTGAAGTATGCTTTGTTGATAGCATGGTGTGCATTTCAGTTTAATTAATTGAGGCTTGTTTTATTTGCTTGTTTCAACTTTGTTTTACTCTTCTCCAAAGCTATGAAGGGGGAGACTTTGAGAAGGCAGCTGAACTTTACAAGAGAGCTATGGAAATAAAAGAAGCAGAGACTTTGTTGATAGGTGGGAAAACAACTTCTCGACATTCATCGAATGGAGATACATTCAGCTTAAAAAGTGCATTATCGCCAAACATTTTCCTGGAACATGGACAAAGGTGACATAAACCTGCTCAAAGAAAAGGCAGTCTCTACAGCTATTTTAAAGCAGACATAAAATTATTAAGACAAATCTATTTTTCTTAGGATCATGTACTATTTTTTGACTGACACCTGTCTTCATGAATGACAGGGAAACAAATTTTTAAGCTTGAAATCCTTCCATGTTAAATTTGAAGACTGTACGGTACAGAGTGAGCTTCCTTCATTGTATATAGATACGCACATTAGTTACCAGCTCAAGTTAGAGCTAATACCAAAACCCATGGATTTGATACCTCTTAGCCTAAGGGCCAGGATTATAACAAGTTAAACCAGTTGTATATACTCCATGGGTAGGTCCTATTTTTGTGTTGTAATAGCACAGCTTAGAGGATTTTTGTATTGTTTGTCAATCCTTTTTGTCCTTTCAGAAGCGTTTAAAGTTGTTTTTGAAGAGATAGTAATTTTGAAAATCCCAGAATAGTGTTCCACCTGATTAGCTGCAGGGTGATTTCCACTTTAAGCAAAGTTTGAGGGACTTGTGCAAAAATAGTTGGTTTCCTTGGGAACTTAATATATCTAAATATATCATCATCTACAGGTAAAGCTGTTGTCAGATTCAACTGTGTTCAGTAAAAATGCTTGCAGTGAGGAATCCGAATGAAGATTATCATGATCTGATTCCTTGTTGTTAACCCTTTAGTGATACTTTCACTATGTAATCTCACTGAATCCCTTAAAATACAAGAATGTTTTTATTATCTGGAAAAACATAGTCATGCAAAACAGTTTGCCATCAGATAAAGAGATGCTTATCAATTCTACCTACCTGCCTGCTGTATTTCTTAATGTTCTAGTCATCTTGAAGAATCAGTCTGAAGTCTGTTCTCATGCAGTGCATAAATCCATTAATCAATTTAAATACATACTAAAAAAAAGATTTTATAAAAAGATTGAATGTAAGTGAAAATTAATTGGAACCTCTGTATAATGTTTCAGAGGCAACTGATGTAAAGATTTATTTGATCCAGTTTGAAGAATGCAAATGGCTGTTACTTCCAAGGGGTACTTACCTTCCACCCTGTTTTTTCTCTTTTAGAGTGGAGTTAAATATAACCCATCTTCTTCTGGTTAGAAGCAATTTAAGGCTGTAACTTGGTAAAGAAAACTGTATGTAAAATTGATAAAACAAATATATGACCCACATTGATTTTTTAAGATTAAAGAAAAAAAAAATCAAAAATAGCTCTTGAAGGTATTACAATACAGCACTGAAAGATGACACTTTGTGATAGCTCTCTGGATATTTTCCTCTTCAGAGAATGTTTTTTTTTATCCACTGTATTCTAGACACCTTGAAAGTTTTGAAAATTGGAAAATTCTTTGCAGGATTGCTAACAAATAAGGAGACAGGCAAAGAAAAAAAAAACAAACCAAAACAACCAACCAGAACCCTCCAACCAACAACAAAAAACCCAAACCCCCAAAACCTCAACCTTCTCAGCTTGTATGTGTTTCTCTTGCCTACTCAGACCTAGTAATCCCCTGCACTGAAGCCAATGTTATAAATTATCAGATGTCTGGTCTAGGTTGTCACCTCTGGTGTGATTTTAACAGGTATAGTGATGTATCCTGCTCTCCTGAATAGTTTTCCTTCATGCTGTTAGCTTAAATAAAAAGCTGCTTTCAAGACCTTCAGTGTTGTTCAGTCCTTCCCCCTTTAGTGATTTCCAATTCTGAACTGTTACTATTCTGTCCTTGAGTGACTTCCCTCTAACTTATTCATAGGTTGCAGGGTTGCTTTTGGAAGAAAAATCAGTCCCTAAAAAGTAGCAGATCCCAACCATCCATGGTCCATTAGCCAAGGTGGTGAGGAAACAAAATCCTTACCCTATCAACCCAAAGAAAACTTTCTACAGAAAGTAAAACAGGATCAGGAGGAATAGTGGAAGGTCTTCCAGGCCATGTGTGGGCCATAAGCTCATGCAGCTATAGTCCTATCACTCTTACGACAGTTGTTCAGGGATTTGTAGTTGTACCTTTTTTAAATGTCATTTTAAAAAAGCAATTTGTATAATTGGTATAAATCAAATAATATTTCTATGTAGGAGAACTCCACCTCAAAACAGTGTCACCAGTTTCAATAGAGTTTAATCATACCTTCAGAATATCAACATCTTAATAACATCCATGATACATTGTAAAAAGCTACGCTTTTATAAGATTGCCAAAGAAACAAAGCTGGACTAAACCTCTGCAATATGCTTTAATATTACTTTTGTTACAAACTAACAAATTTTCCATTATGTGTTACAGTTGAAGTAGATTATATTTGTAAATGTCTTAATTAAAAAAAACCCCAACAACTTAAATCTGTTTTTTTGATGCTGTTTCTTTTAAAAATAGTTTTAACCATTGGCACATACAATCATCTTAATGTACTTTCCAATTCTTTCAAATTCTTCTTGTATATACAAGTTGAAAGTCTGAACCTAACCCAAGAACCATTTTGCATCCTCTGTAAGGGGGCATACAAAATTGTATTAATTTGCTCATAAAACTGTACATGAAGTAAAATGGTAAACAGTTGCCTCTTGAAAAGCTGTCAGTCAGGTGACAGCAGTCATGTCAGCCAAACAGCTGAGAGTCAAGATTAACTGAGCTGTTGTAGAAATGAGTTGGCTGTTTACATCAGGATCTCCAGAGCCAGGTGCCTGCCTCACTTTTATTGTTCTCAGCAGAAAGGTAGAGACACAAAGAAATGTAAGGAACACTTAAATTGACACTTGAATCAAGTTAACGTAGACTTAGTGACGCAGATTCAAGTATGTACCTCTGTAATGATCTCATCATTCTATTTCCCATCCCTCTTTACAGTTAATTTCTAAAATCTGGTTTCTCCAAAACTGAACTCAACCCAAAAAACCCACTTCCACTTTACAGTATAATGCACCACACCCAAAGCCCACTTAAACCCTCCCTCACTAGCTTCAGCAATTATTTTTATGTATATATTATAATCTGGTGTCAGATGCAGAGGAAACAGATTTTTAAGTTTGTAACCGTATTCATTCAGCTGCCCTAAAAAATAGGAGCACCTCCATAATATTTCTTTTTTACATGTTGGGTGGATACTCCTACTAGCACTACTAGCTGGCTCTGTGTTGGCTGCATCATGCTGGTTTTTGAACAGCCCAAGTTGGTGATATTTGTATTATACTGCAAAGGCTGAAATTTACATTCTTCTAAGCCAAATATAATGATCAGGTTCTGGATAGGACACCCACAGGAGTTAAAATATTTGGAATAGATACTTCCAGTTCTGCAGTGTACTGGCACTACAGGATATGGACACTTACAGGTCAGTTTAACACATGATAATTTAAAAGATAACAAAACTGTACTAACATTATTTACAGGACAGATACAATAGCTCAGCTACCCTGCTGAAGAGATTTGCAACACTAAAAGTTTAGAGCATCTAATTTTGGAAGCCTTCCTCTGCAAACTCAGATAAATATATTCCTCAATACAGCCCATGTGATGGGGATGGATCAGAATTACAGCAAAAATTTTAATAGCCAACAAAAATACAATATTGAGATTTTTGAAGAGATAAGACAAAATCACCTGTTCTTTCTGATATTGCTAGTAATTCTTACAGATTTTGTCATGAAAAGTTATCTGCCAGTTGAAACAGTGGCATGCCAATACTCAGTCTGCTACTACAGTTATCTACTAACAAAAGACTTTGCCTTGTTGCAGCATAGTCAAAACATTATCGCATACAAAACATACAGGCAGCTATTTAAGAACAAGTAGTTCTTAACAAAAACTTTGATAAAATAAGGAAAATCTAAAAAAAATATTCCATCCCAGAGCTACTTAAGACAGATAAAAAACTGTAATGCTCTGTTTGCTCAGAAATAAGAAGCCACAGCACAATCCACACCAAGAATTTACAGACAGCAGTGAACAAAGATGAACACAAGTGCTTGGAAAATGAGCAGCAGCAGTATGAGTGAGGCATGATCACCTGCCCTTGACCTACTCAGTCTACTCCAGCAGACTTCATCTTTCACTTGTCCTACACTATGTACTGTTCCATCACATGATGTGGCCTAGAATGTGCTATGCCTGCTTTTGGTAATTTACCATCTCCTTTTATTTTATGAGTATCTGGACCCTAGCAATTCGGAGAAATTAAAATTCACAGTAGCAAAACTCGCTATCTTAAAGACTGGACAACAGAATAGAAACAAAGTAAGTCTGTTTCCTTCCTGCCCCTGTAACAGTTTCATTTCATGTGAAATGTAAAGATAAGTTTCAGGGAGAAAAAGAAAAAAAAAAAAAAAAAAAAAGTGTCAATCCAAACTCCCAAAAGTTGTACTTAATATTTGGTTTGCTACATGTTTCTCATTTTGGCCATGAGTTCTTCTAGGCTTTCTTCAGGCTCAGATACCATTTCCTCAGTTAGCAAATTCTCTTCCTATTAGGAAGAAGAACAAAATGTTGGAAACAAAATTGCAAACAAAAAACCCCCGCACAAATAAGCTTTATTCCTGTTGCCACACCATTTTCCTAGAACCAAGCACTCAACTGCAAGATTAGGGTTAAATTATTACAAATTTAAATTGTAAATTGTATTCTGACTGGGAGTGAGAATGTTCTGGCTGCGATACATACAGATTCTGCGTTCCTCAGGTACACTAACTGCTCTTTGACTACATACAGCTTTTACTAAATACTGTTAAAATACTAGTCACCAAAATACCAACTGAGAAATTCACATTTGATTTCCCTCTCCTGTCCCCCAAATACATTCATTCCTGTCATTCAAAACTACATTCATGCTCACATCCATACTGAAATATATTTCATAAAAACCCCAAACCAGACCATATAAGACAGGAGTTCAATTGTACCGAGGTACAGTTTTACTGGAATTGTTCAAGATGGAATTTTCTTTTAGGTTTAAAGGGTAACCAAGCTGGCTCATACTATAAATTCAGTCTATACAATGTATTAAAAAAAAATAACTGTATTCATAAAGAATAAATATATTACCTTGTTTGGGAGAGTATATGCTACTGTAATTCCCTCGGGAAGCTCAGGTACTGGGCCAGATGCAGCCTTCAGCTCATCTTCTGAAATTTCCGATACTAACTCGATGCCTTTGTATGAAAAGGAATTGAGAGCTCCATTAGAAGTTAGATGAAAAAGTTCATTAATCACTATATTATCATAGCACAAGGAAAACCACATCTACTTTTCTAAAATAGAAAAAATTGAAGACAAGAAAGACCTTTGATTTCAATTACTTCATTCCCATTATCAATGCAATAAATTTTCCCTTTACAATATATGAAATGGTTCCATACATGGAACTTGTGGACAAGAATGACACCTCTCCTATAGGACTCCCTTGTCCTCAGCAGTTTAGTCTTACTGTGAGGACACTTAAGCTATTTTCTCTATCACATAATCAACAAAATGTATATATCCACTCTTGAAATGGTTATATAAAATGCATGTAGCATTTCTTAAGGCAATTCTTTATTTAAAGCCCTTGGAGGTATAAAAAGATCGATGGGAATGCCTTGGTGTAGTGGTTATGGAAGTGACAAATGCTCTTTAGCTACATATTTAAAACAAACACACAGCGAATAAATCTTCTCACATCTTTCATTCATATCTTCAGACCATCATCTGAGAAAGTGTTTTATACAAACATTGTTAATTTTTGCACCTAAAACCTGCTCACTATACTGAAACTACATCATCAAGTTGTGTTAGCAGCATTGCTGTCAGAACCTCTGAAAAGACAGCAGTAATTATGCAGTGAAAGGCACAAAAAATAGGAACCATGAGAAGTCCCATGTACCCTACAGTGTGTTCACCTAAAACAAAGAATTTAACTGAAGCTTGGTACGGGGAACATCATTTCGTCTCCACTCGATCACGTACCCCAGTCATTGTCTTCATGTACTATTTCTTCTTCCTGTTCAACTACTTCTTGTTTTGGTCGTGCATCTTCTTTTTTCTGAAGGAAAAACAGAAAAAATAAAACCGACAATATATGTAATAATCCAACTTTCAACAACAAAGATGATCAAATCTAATATTCACGCTTCTTTTAAGATATGCAGTCACCATTTAGAACTTTGTTAGTCATAAAAATGCAGAATACCTGCAAGTTATAAAAACCCAAACTCATTAACAGTCAAAAATAGATGACTGCCAGAAAGGTTGAGCAATTACTGCAGAAGCAAATATTATCTAACTGAAATGCAAGCCAGTCTGCCTAAAACCTAAAGCATTTTTACCTTATAATTTTCTTGCTGTTTTCTGCAATTTTGGTCGCTACATTGTGGATTTGGCTTCATAGACATAGTTGGAAAGAAATCCTGCATGGCATTGTAACCAAGATAATAACTCACAGTACCAAAATTTAACAGGTATCTAGAAACACAAACAGAGAAAGCAGACCCTTATATACAGATAGAAACCTAAAAATTCAGTTGCTCAAGGAATAATTTTTCCTCAAAGAACTTTTTGAATACACTTTCACACCAGTGAAGTTGTAAAAAGTTACTGTAATTGTTTTAAAATAAGCTGTAGTCACCTGACCACAGCATAACTGCATCATCACAGAACCCAGCCCTCTTGTGGTGTGTCTGTGGAGAACAAGGTGGCTACATTTTCAGAAAAACAAAAGTTTAAATGTAAACAGTTTTCTCCTGTGCCTTAATCCATTGCTTGAAACACTCAAATGCTCTGTATTATGAAGGGAGAGTTTTCAACAGCTAATCAGAATCAGTTTAATCATCTTTACTATAGGGTCATACTGGCAATAAAGATTTAAATTACATTGTAACATTTGGATTCTTCTTTAAACACCTGTTGCTATGCAATTTTATGTAATACTTCTCTCTGCACAGCTGAAAATGGTTAGTTGTTTGCAGGCACACTTGCAAACATTATTATTTGTAACTAGAAATTCTTGGGGAACTGACAAAACCAAGCTAAGGCTAAAAATAGGCTAAATAAGATCCTATTCTCAAAAATGCTTGTAAAAGGCTGTGCATCATTTTGAAACCAAATACAAAGTTGTTAAACAATCTTCCTTGCCAATACAGGCACTTCTTTTAGCAGCTGGAGTCATGTGACTACTTTTTGAAAGTATTAAAATACCTCCTATTACTGTATGTCTGTTTTTCATTCACCTCAGGTTAGAATACAAACACTGCAAGAGAAACGATTTCTTCTTTGTCCATGTACAAAATTTCAAAGAGTAAGCACCATAATTTTTTTTGTGTATAATTTAGTGGTGTCAAATGAGAGCATGTTTAAATGGAGAACTATGGGGAATAAAAAGTAAAAAGTGTGTGTGCATAGTAAGATAAATTCTTAGGAAAACTCTGAAGACTTCCTTACCCCTGTAAAGTTCTACTAAGAACAGCAGCTCCAAAGTAAACACAGCAGTGATTCAAGCTGTGTGTATTTCAGCCCTGTCCAGTGATGCCACTACCTTTAGGAAACAGGCCACAAACATATAAAAAAAACCCAGACCCATCATCATGAAATGTTCCAGCAGGCTTCTTTCTCTTACAGTGCTGTACACTGAATAGCAGCAATTCAGTCACTTACTTCAGAACATTTTGTACAAGAATTCCTGCCACGACACCCATAGTCGTAGGAAGACTAGCTGCACAAACTCCTTCTCGTTTTAATGTTTTCTCATCAATATTTGCAGCAACTACAAGTGGAGGAGCACACTAAGGGGAAATAAAGAAATTCAGTTTAAAAAAAGTATTTAAAAAAAGCATAGATCACACAAAATTTTAAGCTACTCTATCAGCTGTGCCAGGATCACATTCACTAGCCAGCTAATCTTCACACTCCCAGCCCCACTATAAAAGACAAACAAAGAATTCAGCAGAGCACCACATACCGCGAAACAAGCAGTTTCACCAGGTATGATCAGCTGTATATGTCCTGACACTGCATTTTCACTCACTCCAGATTCCATCCAGATTTGTCCAAGTTCATTGCAGGCCTTATAAACACAGAAAAACACATCAGCACTACAGAAGGATAATGGAAGAAAAAAAACCCCATAGATTAAGAGTGATTAAATACACTGACCTTCCTGCTTTACGACAAAAAGGCTATGATCAGAAAAAGGAACATGAAAAGGTAGAATAGGAATTGTTTTTCAAAAGACAAAGTAAAGCTGTCCTCACGAACACAGCCCTTTGTGTTTTCCTGAGGATCTGAGACTTTTGAACAAATACAGGCATTAGTGATCCAGTTACTAGCACACTGCAGAATCTTAATTGCACAAACTACTTTTAGCAGCATGGATGTAGTGTCTCTGTGTACCCTCAGTGCATGCAATCTGCAGATCAAGTTAGGCGAAGGATAACAGAACATGTGTTTGGCACATACCCTACATTGGCTGCTACTATAAAGAAAAACAGTTTGATTAGGTTTGATTAGCCTTAAGATATTTTTAGTATACAGAAAGTCATATGAAATATACAATTCGCTATACACAGTCTTTAAAAGTTTTTAAGATTTAACATAGCAGGCTTTGAGAATACGTTTATATAAACAGGACAATTTGGAAAGACAGAGAGGGCTTGCGACACTTACTCATCATTAGCTGCTAGTAACTTAAAAGTCTACAATTATTTTTATACATATGTGTTTCATAAGAATTGGGTAAAAGCTCAGATTCTGTTTTCTTAAACCAAGAAGGAAATTTCTTGAAAGATTCTTGTCTTTTCTCTAGTCCCCACAATTCCTAACATTATTTATAGGAGAAAATAGACTTCCACAACCTCATGCCTTTGGTGGCCTTACCGTGTTAATTGCCATGCGAGCTTCAAAGTTGTCCACGCAACTTAGAACAAGATCGACAGGCTTCCCTTCCTCTAGTGCACCATTACTGAAATAAGTGTCAGAAGTTTGCATGAAAATGCTGGCAGAACAAAATACCAACATGGCAACCAACATGCTACTTTGGAGTACAGAGGCACACAGGAAGATTATTTCTAACAAAACCTGTGCAAATGCAGAACAGTATACAACAAGCATCTTAGATCTACAGTACAGACAACAGCATGCTGAAGCCAGGATTTAAATACACGGGCATTTTACATTAAAAGAAGTTTTATATGGTATACACTCACAGTACAAAGTATTGGAGAATTGTATCTTTGTACAATGTAAGTACAAATGGGAAAAGTTATTTCAGAACTTCTCTGTGAGATTCACTAATAACTATTTTCTTTCTTCATGCTGTAAAGCATTCCTGAAACTACCCTAGAGCAGTCAAAATATGATGTGATCTGTTTTCTATAATGGGAAAAGCCTGTAAGAACTGCAACTTTGGTTGGAAATCTAAAGATGCACTAATACTACTTTGTAACAGTAGAAATAAATGCCAACTCTAAGAGAAAAGGTCTAGCCAGGAATGTCTTCATATATACATAGTTTTCGATTGAAAGTCATTAAACTGAAAAAAAACAAACGCAGTAAGAACACGAGTCTGTATAGAACCACAGATCAGCAGAAGTTTGCAATATGCTTTGGTTGAGATTTTTACCTTATTCTATCCATGAAGTGTTCAAAGTTGTCCAGTGTTGTGATGTTGTAGTTATGTACTTCAAACTGAACATCAGGATTAATATTCCTTATGAAGGAAATGAGTCAATATTAATATATACAGTGATAACTTACATTCTGCTCCCTAACTTCACAAGAGTTGCTACAGTCTTAAGGTTCCAGTCTGAAGTCTAAATTATACCCATATTTGTCAAACATTCACAAATGAAATGAGAAAATAACCACAACATAACAAAGTGGCATAGTTTATACTGAACTTCTGAGAAAAATTAGCTATACTTTAAAAGTAGACTTACATTAAGATTTTGGCCAGTACAAAAATGTCCTAAAGTATCAACCACTCCCACAACTATTTTATAAGCAAATTTCCAAATTAGGTCATGTTACTTTGTAAGTGATTAAGAATTTTTCTGGACCAGCACCCTGGGTAAATACATTTTGATACCCTAAGTTATACCTCAAAGTATGCTCTGCTGCTTGCACTTTACTTAATCCAGCTTGATGAGGTTGGAAGAAGAGCCTGTTCATGTTTGCCAATTCCACCTTGTCATAATCAAACAGAAGGAGCTACAATAAAGATTGTATTAACATAGGTGAATCTCCAAAGACTCTGCAACCAGAGCACTCTCGCAAGGCATTTTAAACAACTAATTCTAGAAACAAAACCAAAATCCCCCAACCAAACACCCCCCCATTCAGTTCACGTACAGAAGTTACCAATATTGTAAATACATGAAAGACTGAATTCTGACTGCCATTCACCAGAAACTGATTGGTTAAGTCACAAACCCCACTCAATAAAAAACAATCTGTTCATTTGAGCTAAACTAAGAATATTCGATTATCTACATGAACGCTATGAACCCTATTATCACATTTCTATTTGCTGTTATGGATTAACTAGAAATGTGTCATTTCTTTCACTTGTCTCGGCATGTTGTTCTTCAAAAACAATTCACTTAAAACACTCCCATAATACATGGGCATGTTGATTATTATAAATTCTTAATCAACTGTCTATGTCCTTTTCTATGCTCAATATGTGCTGTTCTATTAGCTCTGGAAGTTCTTCTTATCTGTACACGCATCAAATTATTTTTAACTACTGCTAAATTTTTAGCTCTAAGTCTGCCACATGATGAACTGACATTTGCGATGAAAATCTGTTTGACATCTACCGCATTTTAATTTTGGGAAATAACAACTTTTTCCTCATAAGAATTAATCTTCTATGCAAGTTACCCCCTATTTTTTCTGTAATTTGTTTTCCTTTTGCCCTAATCCAGTATGAAGGTTAGACAGACAGGCTCATACAAGAGCACGGAGAAGACAAGCATCCAAAATAAAATTATCCACGATACAGGATTAAGCCCTAAGTGAATCAATTTTACCAGCATAAGAAAAATACAGCCTCTTCATTTCTGATGTTTACACAAGTGCTATTCTTGAGTGCTTTCTTCATAGTACTTTTTATTTTGGCAAAATCAACCGAGCAAAATCAAACCTCTATGAAGACGACTGGTCCATCTACTATAAAGAAGTAGAAGAAGAAAACTCTCATTACCTTACCAATGCCACACCTTGTCAACATTTCAGCAGTCACACTGCCAACTCCACCTACACCTACGACTGCAACTGTAAAAGTACGGATTTTCTGTAGAAAGAAATAAAATACAGATCAGTATATCAAAAGTGGCTGTCAGGGAAAAAATGCAAGGCTGTTTTAACACAGATAGAATCCTACCTCATAGTCTTTGACAATTCCCATTCTTTTTAATGCCATCAAGCGACTACAAAGAAAAAAATAAATATTTTACAGAAAATGCTCTCTACATTTCTAATAGCAATTTTGCTTTTCAGACATATAAAATCACTTTTGCTTCAAAAATAACCCCACCAAGCACCAAACTCAAGCCTGCTGTTTTCACTGCAGTTGTGAGGGCCAGTCTAAGTGAGAAAGTAGATGCTTTCCTATTAGCAACAGCAACAGAGTACTAGCCCTGTGGAAACTCACATACTTGTTCAGTTGTTATGAGTAACATCAATGAAATCAGGAGGACCCATAACTATTATTGTAAATGAATCCCTGACTTACAGAATGGAAGCCTACACTTTTTTCTGCAATGAACCATATGGCAGCAGGCCACTGGAAACTCTTCCACTGTTTTCTGATCAATTTGATTAGATTAACTCTAACATAACATAAAAACAAAAATAGAGAATATCGGGTTGTGAGGATAAGTGGAAGAACTATTCTGCTATTCCATTTTTTCATTGAAAGTATCAATGAAAGTACAAGTATCAACTTGTATCGAAGCAATTCATCATGGAAAAAAAAATCACATCGTGTTCCAGAAACGCTGAGCATTAGAAGGAGTCCCAGATGCTCAAGACTTCTCTAAACCAAACCCTAAAATGGGAAAGTTAGAGGACTAAGACCTCGTATAATGCCAACACCTGTTCCCTTTATCAGCAACTTGGCTGAAAAAGTTTCCTCTCTCTCTCCCTGTACTGTAAAGCAAGGTAACACAATGTATATACACACCCTTACCACCCCAGCCGGGTGGGAAATCTGAGAGCATCCCTCCCCTCCTCCCCAGCGAGCACCTGCCTTCAGCACTGCCCTGACACCCTGCTCAGCACACCCAACCCATCCCGTAGTCCCCCACCTCCACACATCTTTTTCCCTTTACTCAGACCCGCAGTTCCAACCCACGGCCTGCGACCCCACAGCCCAGCCTCTGCACCCTGACTCAGCCTCCGGGCCTCCTCCCCCGGCTCAGCCCTGGCCCTCGCCCTGTCGGTGCAGCCCCCCCGGCCGCACCTGTATGGGTTGGAGTCCGTCACCTCCGGGCTCATGCTCTCGATGCGGGGCCGCGCCGCCCGCTGCTCGCCCCTCTCCCGGGCCAGCTCCTCCTCCAGCTGCCGCACACGCCGCTCCAGCTGCTCC